GACAACTAGACAGTAACTCCTGAGCCAGGGATGATGAACCCAAGGGGGAAGGAGACAGAAAATGGCAAGTGCTGAAACTGCCCTCCTATGTAGAAGTTGCTTCCTTTACAGAACCACCCTAATGTGAAAAATCTACATCAAGAAAACAAATCTATTGTCTAGCTAATGATACCATTTGCCAAGTGATTGAGTGTTGCCTTTCATTCAACACGGCCCCTTGAATATTCACATACAGTCCTTGAGGTTTTAGACTTTCCAGATCCAGGTATGTATTTTAAATCCACATAAAAAGTTTTCGGTATACACAATATATAAAGCAAGTTGCAATGCATATATTTGTGTATATGCAATGCACATAGGCCTAAGATTCCCTAAATACCCGGTGGGAAAAGTTTAAAAGTCCAGGTTTGTTCAGATGTCCTAATTTGTTGTCTTTGCTGTGTGAAACATCATGACCAAAACCATCTTGGAGGGGAAAGGGTTTATTCCCTCTTACCCATCCCAGTTACTGACAATTGTCAAGAGAAGTCAGGGCAGGACCTCAAGACAGGAACCTGGAGACAGGAACTGAAGCAGAGAGTGTGGAAGAACAGCCACTGACTGGCTTACTCCCCATGGCTTGCTCAGTTGCTTTCTTAAAACAACTCAGGACCACCTACCAGGAATGGCACCGCCCACCGTGGACTGGACCCTCCTACATCAAGCATTACTCACGAAAATGTCCCATAGACTTGTCTACAGGCCTTTCTGATGGAGGCATTTTCTCAGCTGAGGTTCCCTCTTTGCAGAAAACTCTAGTCTGTGTCAGGTTGACAAAAAACGGATCAACACATCAGGTGTGGTGGCTTAATCCTGGCACCAGAGGTGGCTGAGGCAAGTGAACTGGGATAAATTCAAGACCAGCCAAGGCTACATAGTAAATTCTGGGCCATCCTGGGCTACAGAGTGAGACTCTGTTTGAAAGCAAAGAGGTAGAAAACAGTAAGCAAACAAGAAGGTCCAGGTTTCTAAGTAAGCCCTCCCCGGCCAGGATGCACATTTTGAGAAGTGCGCCATTTACTCCAAAACATACCATCATATTCAGCAAATATTTACTGACAGCCTACTATGTATCAAATGCCAACTCTGCACCAGGGAGTTAGAAGGAAACAGTCTCAATTTCCATGAATTTAGACTACGTGGGGTGGAAGATTAGAAAGATAAGCAATAAATTCTCTGGGAGTGGTGAAGGTATTTAAGAGCATTGATATGTTAAAGAGGCCCGACATGCTGGCACATGCCTAAAATCCCAGCACTGAGGATGCAAAGACAGAGAACATTGCTACATATTCAAGGCTGGCTGGGTCTCCACAGTGACTTTCAGACCAGCTAGAGCTATGCAGTAAGACCCTGACTATACAAACAAATAAATTCATAAAGTTGGTGTGATGGATTGGGGTAAGGTTACAGACATTTTTCTAAGCAGAGAGGATGTTGAGGCTATGGTTATCAGAAAACTTTATCAAATAAGGTTTTCCTTCACTCGTTTTTCATCTTCCCATCTACACACCGAGGACCCTGAGGACCACCAGGACACAGGGCACCATGAGAGAGATGAAGAAGTACATCTGACAGTCCAGGAAGGAACAAAGATCTGTATACATAAGTGTGTTCATACTTGCTGTGAGATAAAAATCCTAACCCAGAGAGAGAGGTGAGTTTGGGAGACAGAGACCTGGAAGATGTCACCAAGAAGATTAAGGGTGTAGTTCCCCAAAGAAGGGGCAGGATTTGAATCTGGAAAAAGAAGGCACTACAGAAGACCTCCATGAAGACCCAGGGGTGGGAACATTCTCTGAATACTTGAAGAACAATAAAAGAGGTGGCTTAAATGCCTTATGGTAGAGGGTCATAGGAACCATGTGTGTTGCAATCCAAGGGTCTTGCTGAGCCATCCATCCTCACTGGCTTTGGGACAGCTGGCCCTGCCCCTCGCTGGACAATACAGCAGGAGGACTGGCCCTGTCCCCCACGGGAAGCTGGCTCCCCTCCACATACACACTTGGTAGAGATGGCCCCATCCCTCACCAAGGGCAGGGGAGCACTGTCCCCCAAAGGCATGGGCCTAGGAGAGCTAGCTCTGTCTCTCACCTGAGGGAGTGGTCCCAGTGGCCTGGACCAACCAATTCAGCTACCACCCAGACCCACATCCTGGGCCTTGGGTTGGCCCACCCTAACCTCTATACCCCATCTGTGACCTGCGGGGGTGAGCAAAGGGACTGGTCCCCAGAAGGATAGCTGTAGATCTCCATGACTAGGACAACAGCAGGACATCCGAGAGGCATTTCAATGAGAGTCCAGTGATGGTGGTGTGCCGGAGGCCTTGAACCAGACCCATGACTCACTGCAATGGACATGTTGTGGGTGGGGCTGATTGGACGAAAGGGTCTACTGTGTGACACACCACAGCTCCTGATGCCGCGGGATGAATGAAGTGTTGGAAAGATGGAGGAGTGAGGTGGGTTTTTTGTTTGTTTTTAGTTAATTGAGGGGTGTCTTTTGGAGGAGCATGCTGCACGGGTGAGGGGCAGATGTGGAGGGTCTGGGAGGTGAGTAGCATTGAGTTCATGATGTGAAATTCCCAAAGAATCAATAAAGAATTATGCAAAACAAACAAACAAACAAAAACCTTGGGGTAAAACCACTATGCATCACAAAGGATTACACTGGACTTTCTAAAACGTGTTGCGGTGGTGTTTGGCATTTTTTGGTGTTGTCATGTGTTATGTGTCTTAGTTTGTGTTAGTGACATTAATAATAACAATGTGTTATTATTATTATTATTATTATTATTACTACACTATTATTACCAAGGAACCAAATGCCAGGCCACAGAGCTTGGCTCCATCCTAAGCATGAGAATCACTCTGGTTCTTAGTAAAACTCAAGGGCTATTTGTCCGATGGAGATGACTGCATGTTCGCTGACTGGCCTGAGGGAGTTGGGAGTGAGGTCCAAAGTGAGGAGTTAGCAGACCCGGGGTAGTGGGGTCTTTACAGACCCAGTTTAGACGTCCTAGACAGGCGAGCCGAACCCCTACCCCCGAGGTGATAATGACTGAATTAATTACCTGGAAGGGGGTAATAGGGTTAAAAGAAGTCATAAAAGTGGGGGCCTAACCCACTAAGACTGCGGTTCTTTTCAGAAAAGGGGGCCCCAGCACTGCCCACACATCTCCGAAGGAGCCTGTCAGTTCATACAGGGAAGACAGTGTCTAAGGCCAACAGGGGAGCCTGGCCAGACACCCCCCATGCTTGCACCCTGAGCTGGGAGTTCTAGACTCCTGATTTATGAAAAAGTGGATTTCTGTTGTATAGACCACCCAGTCTCTGGTATCTTGTTGAGACAGTCTTAGCACACTAAGCCAATACAATAACGTGGAATAGATGGATTTGTGAGGCTAGGAGTAAAGGGGGTAAGGGACTTGACAGATCCTATTGTGACTGGATTCCTGGGATCTGGTGTCTGATTAGACAAGGGGCCAAGGAGCCTGCGTTCTCAAAAGCAACTGCCAAATTCCCAGCTGAGATACCCAGGGCAAAGTGCATGAGAACGCCGAGTAGTCCTGTAAGAAATGACATCTGTACACACAGCGGGCACTTGCCCTGTACTCACAGCGGGCATTTCCCCTGTACTCACAGCAGATGTTTCCCCTGTACACACAGTGGGCGCTTCCCCTGTACACACAGTGGACATTTCCCCTGTGCATACAGCAGGCGCTTCCCCTGTGCATACAGTGGGCACTTCCCCTGCACTCACAGTGGACATTTCCCCTGTACACACAGCAGATGTTTCCCCTGTACACACAGTGGGCGCTTCCCCTGTACACACAGTGGACATTTCCCCTGTACACACAGCAGATGTTTCCCTTGTACACACAGTGGACATTTCCCCTGTACACACAGTGGACATTTCCCCTGTACACACAGCGGACATTTCCCCTGCACTCACAGTGGGCGTTTCCCCTATACACACACAGGCACGTGCTTCCCCTGGATTTGCAATTTTGTGGGGCTCAGAAGTTTGAGTCTAGAAACCAGAAAGTATCTACTCAACACAAGAGCTGACATTTGTCCCCAGAACAGGACTAGAATATGAGATAAGACATCAAGAAGGTCTTTTGTGTCTACTGCTGGGCCTGGAGAATTTACAACTAGGGAGGAAAAACACTCAGCATTGTTTTATAAATTCTTTTTTTATTATAATTTTTATATACATTGGTGTTTGACCTGCATGTCTTTGTGTGGGAGTCTGATCCACAAGAACTTGAGTTACAGACTGTGAGCTGCCATGTGGGTGCTGGGAATTGAACCCGGGTCCTCTGGAAGAGCAGCCAGTGATCTTAACCACAGAGCCATCTCTCCAGCCCCTTGTTATTGTTTTAAAGACCAGAAGAGGGCAGATAGACATGTCAGTCTCCAGGTCCTCCTTGTCAACCAACAAATGGATGGCCCACCCTTTCCCTGAGAGAATAAGAGACATCTCTTTGCCAAGACTTCCTTGGGTTTCCCTACAGCCAGGCACACCCAGGGATGTTAGTTTCTTGCTTCCTGTTTGGATTGCTAAGGTCAGCCTTGGAGACTTTTGCTGCAAGAACTGCTTTTAAACCCTTGGAATTCCACTTCATTACCAGTTGCAGGGGCCTCAAGGCCGCAGCTCAGCCCAAGGGCCCTGCCTTAGGCCCTTCTGAGGATCCTGTGTCTTAGTCCTCTTGCTTTGGCTGCTGGGGGCAGATCTAGAAGCCTTCTGACAGGAAGTGTCTTCCTTCTGGAATTTGACATTTGCTCTGCAGCATGGCACTTCGGCTATTATATCACTAAACGTCTCCAAGGCAACAGTAGCTGGGGGCCTGACTGATAACTTCTTCATATCATGAACAGAAATAGCGTAAGTCACATGGTTCTCCCAACCAGTGACAACCAAACTTCAGCAGACGTCAGAGTGGGTGATCTCTGCTAAAACACAGGTTGCGAGGCCAGAGAATGTGGGTTTCAAACTCCTTCCTCGGTGACGGGACTGCCACTTACTCAGGATCACACTTTGGAAACCACTTCCGTACACAAGGTAAGATATTACAAACAAAAGCGGAGGGCCCAGCAAAAATCTTCACGTGTGATATTTGATTTTCTAAGACACAACTTGTGCACTGGCTGAAGCTTCGTTTCACAGAGAATTGCCATAGAATACTACCAGCTGAAGGATGAGAATGTGTTAGATTTGGGGGGGTCTCCAATCATGCTTCCTGACCTCTGGAAGTGTGTCTGAGGAGGACTAGTTTACCCACAGACGTCAATGTGATATTGATGTTCACAACAGCAATGCATTCCCAGTAGGGCACTTGATTTCATGTTTCTTACTATAAATCATTTAAACCTAGGAACACCAGTCCACTGTGTTTTAGGAACAATAAAGTTAGGTAAAAAAGAGGCCTGGTGAGTTAGGTGAAGGAGAGACAATGTAAATTTGCCACCCTGTGGGAACCGCTCATTAGCAACAGTTTTGAACATTGCATGCCTTATTTCTCTAGGCTGCTCTTGTGTTTGTGTCTTTGGATAGGAAATTTTTCAACACCTCTTTTCTGTTGACCATTGACCCGAACTCCCACCTGGTGTGGTTAATTGTTTGCTTTCTCTAAGCATTGAGTCGCCCACTTTTAGAAGTGAAACCCCACATAAGCCTTTAACAAAGAAATATGGCCAATGCTGTGCACAACGCATTTCTCACTGAGATCTCAAAGCCTTCACGTCAGTAAATCTACTTATATTTAAATCACCAGCTGTTACTACCGATCTTTCCCAGGGAAGTCACAAGAGGCACCTACCTCTCCTCACTATGTCCCTTTCCAGGGAAGTCATAAGCGGCACCTACCTCTCCTTGAACCAAGGTACAATTCCACCAAAGTTTACTCTGGGGAGCCAATGAGTTTATAGGGCTTACTTACAGAACATTTAAGTGAGGGGTTACTTACAGGAATGTGGGTGCTCCCTTGCAAAAGCTCACACCAGAAAGTCTTTACCTAACAGGGATACCAACTTTCCTATAGCCGCATAGATAAAGCCTGCCTCCTCTGGTCTTCCCCAGTGTGTATATATAGTCTAGCCACTCCCCAAGGCCAGTGCAGTTAGGACAGCGTTGCATACAACAGGTAGTAGGAGCTCACAGGTGAAGGTCTTATGACCCTGTGTGCCCCCTTAGGAGGAGATGTAAACAGTCAACCAGCCCAGCTGGGAGATCATTTGCAAGTGGGCACAGCCGAACTCCCCAAGACAGCAATTGTTTGGCTGAAAGTATATTCCTGTACAATCCCAGCATAAACATGAGCTTAAACACACACACACACACACA